GCTGCGCCAGACCTGCGTAAGGTTTCCACATGAACAATGCGCACAGTGCAGACTTCATTCCCAAAGCGTTGGCTAATGTTCAGTTTTTAAAACAGTTCTTTTAAAAGAGTAAAGATAACCAGCCAAAATAGTCTCACCAGGCATTTGGCGATCTGTTCTGTACCCCCTTAAGGTAGATGATTTTCTGGGATTCAAAAAAATATATATTATTTCTTTCTCTCTTTTTTTTTGCATAAGCAACTACCCAGCAAATTGATAAGAGCCCTTTTTAATTAGATAGTGAAGTTGTATGGGTAATGTTCCATATAAAAGGTCTATAAAACACAGCAGAATTAATAAAATGACTGGTTCTCATTTAATTCAGGTCCTCCAAAGGGATCCGTGTGTCTTGCTTTGGTCTGTTTGTAGTACTTCTCTCCACCACCCAGCCACAAATTGATTAAAATCACATTCCTCACTTAAAACTGGAGCCCAGTTGGTAAGAGATGCTGGATAGTAATTAAGGTCTGTGCACAGACACATGAACCCCCATAAAAAAAAATACCAAAAGGAATCATTGTGCATTGCTTGGATTATATGCAAACACAGCTCATGTTGACAGCTACCTCTGGATGACTCCATCAGTACACACTTTATCTCCAGCTGTCCAAGTAATTTTCCCAGGATTTCGCCCCTCTTTTTCACTCCTCTCCACACAGATGGATTAGAGCAACAAACGGTTTACATGCTGCACATCATTAGCTATCCTCCCTCACTACCCAGCAGATAACAACTGGGCTCTATCATCAGGACATTCATAACACCTTGACACTTTTACAACTATGCTGTTCTCTGCCAGAGCAATCTTCTCTTTTAAAGCATGAAGCTAATTCACGAAACACCCGGTGGAAAGTACTCTGCAAACGCAACAGGGGTGGGGGAGAGAAGCAAAAGCACAGCCCAGAAAAGGCATCTAGTAAATAACATAGTTAGGACTGTAAAAAAAACATCAAGAGAAAAGCAGCACGCTCTTTCTCTCCAAGATACCGCTCCGTTTTCCCGTTGCCTCTGTCCCATGGTGAAGGACATCAGCAAACAGCCACGCATCTGTTGGCCGTATTTCAATGCTTCCATCACCGTCGTCCAGGCACCTTCAGTGCCTGGCGTCAGCGCGGCTCTCTGCGGCTGCTGGCTGAAGCAGGCAGACGGTTCGGCTGCGAGGGTCCCCGTGCGGGTGCTGTGCTCCTGGCAATGCCTTGGCTGCTTCCCCTGGGGATGGGGATGGGTTTCGCTAAGGGACCTCTCTGCAAAGGGACCGGTTGAAGGCTTCAGTCAGTAGTGTGTTTACTGTTGGGTATTACCAACGGCTATTCTGATTTTCCTAAACTGCCTCTGGTCTCAGGGCATCTTGACTCTAAAAGATTTGTTAATAAAACAATGTATTCCCTGCATAGGTTGGGATCCTGCTTCAGAGACCACGCACGCTCAGTCATGGGCTTACCTCTAGAATAAAATACAAGCCTACATCGGCCACTGTGGATGGAAAGAAATACATTTTAGCAGCGTTTTTCCAAGCTTCTCAGCATGCCCGCCTGCCGCCCCAACCATACATTTTAATGTATAGTACACGCTTGTTTGAAAAAGAAATACATAAGGAGAAAGAGTAATTACCGTAGCTTAAATTCAGCCTGATAAGAAGGGCTTGCACTGTCTGAGCAGCTGTTCCACTGCCATTCAGATTATGAAAATATAATCCTAGAGAACCTTGTCAAGATAAGTACAGAGCATGAAATGTACAGGCAATTTTTCCCCAGCCACATATAATGATCAATTCCAAAGCCACAAGTGATACCAAAGGACAAAATAAGATCTGTCTAGACTTTCTCACTTACAAGATATTGATCATTGCAATGGTAAACTGGTTAGTATAAGTGTGTTTGGCTTGAAAGGTCATGAGCTTAACACCTGACAAGGAGTTATTCAGCCTTGATGTAAGTCAAATTATTGCAGTGTTGCTGGAAAGACTTTCTGTAATAAAAATCCCTACCTGGTCTGAGAATATCTGAAATTTGTCTTACAGATGTCAAAAGAAAAAGGGAGGGGGGGGGGGGGGAGGGCGTGGGGTGGGAAGTTGAGGCTTGGCATGGGTTTCTGCTGGTTCACCTCTATCTGGTTTTGCAAGTAGAGGTCCCAGCAGTCAGTTACTCTGTGGGCAGACCATGGGCAACATCTGCTGCGCGGACAGCAGTGGAAGCTGTTGCGGATTGAAATGGCACCTGCATCCCCGTAAGGGCTTCTGGTGGCTCTTCGTTCCTAGCGAGGGAGTTTGCTCGCTCACCTACATGGACGTGACAGAGCCAGGGCACCCATACAGACAGGGGCAAAAAAACACCATTAAAATGGGAAATGGTGGCTTTGGAAGGAAAGCAGAGGAGAAAGCGTCAAGCAACGCCCTTCAGTGTGTGGGTGGGAAATGCTCTGTGGCATCACCCTCCAATGCCTCCCCTTCAGAAAGTCCTGTGGGGATTGAGCGGTGTATGAGAGACACAGTCCTTACCCAGCCTCCTCCTTTTTTATGGGAATAACTAGCAAATGCTTATTAGGACAATTAGGAGCTTGATGTAAGTTTGCTGGATCTTTTCCAAGAACTATAAATACCCTATCTATTTTGCTTTATTCAGTTCTTTTTGTTTTGCTGATATGATACTAGTTAAGGTTAATGGGGTTTGCTTTAATATTAGACACAGGATCACTTAACTACCTTTAATGAACACTGGAGTCAATGCATTGTGGAGTAATTCACACAGACATTGCCTCAGGTAAATCAACCGGAAAAATGTAAGCCAGTCAAATAAATAAATCTGACCGGCTGTAAATGTGCCAAATTTTACACCAAAATATATTTGAAAGCCAATGACTTAGACACATCTACGATATTAAAATGGAGGCTTTGGAGTCTGTTTCTTTTCAATTGCTTTTCCTTTTTAATGTCCCCTGCACATCCCTCCTGTGCTGAAACCAAGATGAGAGTGCAAGAAAAATTATTTTCACAAGTGTTTCTAATAGAAGCAAATGCTCTGCAGCTTTGTGCCATTTTTTTATTTAGAATGAAAATGATTAAAAAAAAAAAAGCTTTTTACACTTGGCTACCTCAACACAGAAGAGTGAGTGACAAAGAGAAGGACAGAGAGAGGGAGAGAAAAGGAGAGAAAGAGAAAAGGAGAAAGAATGAAAGAAAGAGAAAGAATGAAAGAAAAAAAGCACAAAAGAAACAGAGAGAGAGAAAGTAATTTTATCTCAGTTGGAGAAAACAGTGACAGTGAAATTCTAGACAGGGTAATACACTAGTGTCAATAAATATTTATAAACCAGAAATAGGAACCAGAGGAACCCAACCAACTCAATGAAGTTAGGGGGGTAGCTTACTTCATACTAATGCAAAACTATGCTAACATTAAAAATGCTTCTACCTCGTAATGCTGAAATAGTGAGCTGTGTACAGAGGAAAAACACCGCCCAGATATTCTTTGAAGGAAGGCAGGCAATCTCTTTAACTACTGAATTCTCATAAAAGCATGCAATATTTCAGCAATAAGGAATTACAGGGTGTTCATTATCGGTTATTAATGTTTGCCTAAATGGAGCATAAGGTCCAGGCCTTCGGGGGAGTGCAGAGCTCCCAGCATTGCTTAATTACTGCCTCTTCTTAACCCAGCAATGCCAAGCTCTGATGCAAAGCTCTGCTGTCATAGACCGGCTGTATTATTACATGAGAGTAATTCTGTTTGGCTGTGAAAAGGAAAAAGAATGCATTTGAGAAGGCTGTTGCACAGGTGACAGAAGTTAATCAGTTTTTCTCCCCAGATAAACTCCAAGACAATACAAGGAATTTGACTGTAACTAGCACCTCAACTTGCAAACACTTAGACCCACGCCACTACAGTTTTCAGACATTACACTGTACCAGGATCTGGCACAGACTGGACAAAACTTCTAGGAGACAAGAAAGAACTTTTTTTCCTTTTTTTTTGGTTTGGTTTGGTTTGGTTTGTTTGTTTTTCCCAAAAAGGCTGAAAAGAGGTGTTGCTCTTTCTGGAATAGCCCCTTTTATTTCTTTATTCCATCAAATGTTTCAGTGCAGGAGCAAGCTCATTAGGATGTGCTGGCCTTGGGGAAGGGGCTTGCTGAAGATAGTAGAGGAAGACGCATGGGCAGGATTGCTTATTTACTGAAGGCTGTTGCTACACAGGTGATGTAGCAGGTATAAGCAAGGCCATATATTCTTTACTACTGCTTTAGGAAAGACTGTGGTGTCAGGTAAGGAAGTGGCCAACTAGGGAGCAGCTGAGGCTGCACTTGGGCAGGAGCTTGAAGGATGCCGAGGACTTTGGAGAAAAGAAAAAGCCCTCATTTTCTCTGTATAAATCCCGCTCAGCTAATTCACCCTAGATCTGAGGGCAGTGGCTCCCAGGTTCCCCCTGTCCACTTGGAAGAAATTTAATTTCACAGATAGAGACTTGTAGAGATTTCAACCTTTATGTGCATAGGAGGCTGAACACCACCTACCTGAGAAGAGCTCACACTAAACTAGAACTAGCCATAAACTCAAAAACATACTCAAAAAAATTTGCAATATATGACTGTAAGGTATAGCTGTTACACCGCAATATCGTAATTCCTTACGTAAGTGTGGTGGGTTTTTTGATGGGAGGATGCTATGGCTACTTCTGCCAGGTGAACGCGTGCCTTGACTTTAACACCTATTCAACAGCTAATCAAATGCATTATGATTGCAGACAAGAAAAATCATGGAAGGCAGACTGTTAGCAATAAATCATAAATAATAAGGGGGTCAAATAAGCTTCTATTAACGATGTGTCCTTCTATTTATTTGTTTATATTGTCTACAGAAAATGTGATGCTGGACTGGGGATGGCTTAGGACAACCTTCTGGCATGAAGACAGCTACAAAGCACAAAATACAAAAAATGAACTCAGAAAGAAACAAGAAAAAAACAGCGTTTTCTTGGCATCAACAAGAAGCTCTTTATTTTTCCTCAAGTTTTCTTTTCTAAAAAAAAAAAAATTGGAACTAAGACATTTGCAGAAATGAGACAAACTTTCTCTTCAGGTGACAATATTCAAGCAAGCATGTTGTTTTATTGAATTTAAATTGAAAGAAAAAAAGATATTTGGAATGGGATACAGTATCAGGAGAACTGAGAAACTGTGAACTTTGAAAGAAAAAAAAACCCTCTTTAAAACTGTGAACTGAGAAATGGATGGAAATACCATTTAAACCCCTGATTACACCCTGTGTGTTCTTAAGGAGACAACATCATCTTTGCTAACTCGACGGTATTTAGGGAATGGTTTACAACACATCTTTTATTATAATCTTTTAAGAAAAAAAACAGAAATATTTAATTAGCTGTGACTTTACCATTTCTGTTTAGTTGTCTTCTTGCACCTTCTTTTTCTAGACAGCGCAGATAGATGTATTTGCAGCCAGCAGCCAAGGGCAGGAAAGATTTCTTTCCTTAATAATCTTTTTATTTGCCAAAGGGCCTTGGAGGGAAAAAGAATCAACACAACTACCATCTCCCAGTCAATGCCTAAAGCCTAACAGGCAGTAATTATCAAAATAAAGAGGAAATCCCATATTGGGCTACATACCTACCCATTAATCAAAACAACAGAAAATATCTGCAGCATTGCTTTTCTAAAATAAGACAAAAGATGCCTCCTTGGGTTACACTTTGAACAGGCTATAATCAAAAGAAAGAGAACCAAGACTAACTAAGCCCCAGGAAGCCGCATTGTCCCTTTAACCCACAGTATTCCCCATTTCCCATTAGTACTTAACATTTTTCACTATGTTGTGACTGCTATTATTTCATTTAACACTGGTTAATCTGTATCTGAGGTATATGGAAACCCTCTAGATGATAAGATTGGACAGGTTCCAGCGTTGGCAGTTTTCGAGCGTGCACACACTTGGTGTGTTTTGATCCTTCCAGGAGCTCCCTGTTATTTGGACTGCCTGCCAATTCGTTCTTGGATCAGCCTCTCACTCAGCTCCCACAGGGCTGCGGCCGTCGCGTCGCCCTGCGCCTCCTGCGACGGCAGGCAGCGGCAGCAGTTGTTGAAGTACATCCCTCCCAGGCCCTCCAGCTCCGCAGCCGTGGCGCAGTAGACAGTTGTGGCAGCTCCTTGTTGCTGGAATTGAGAGAGAGAGAGAGAGAGCGCCTATATAAATATGTATAGATATTTTATCATTGTAATTTTGACTGCGGTCCTTTGAAGCTGTGCGTCTTATGAAAGCACCGGTGAAACGCATCGCGGCTGACAGGGTAACCCGCATGGTGACGAGGCTGAATACCCGGCTGAACGTGCTGCCTGCCTGCTGGCCACTTCCTTACAAAACACCTTAGTGATTTTTTTTTTTTTTTTTTCCTTTCCTCTTAGAGCAAAAGAAAAGAAAAAGACAATCCTGAACCCCAGCCCAGGTCTCGGGTCTTTTGCCCCTTTTCAATAAAACCTTGGATCGGCGGCAGGGAGAGTCTGGCCTGACGCAGAAGGGCAGGGTCTGCCCAGGCAGGGTTTGAAAACAGAGGAGTTGAGCCAGGTTTAAAAGCAGCACCTCAAAACTTGCTGGTTTCCCTTTGCAATACAGAAAACACCGTACACTTTGGGCGCCCCTGCTTCCTAAGCCTGACCAGCAATGCAGGCTGATGCATATATGTATTTTGGATTTGGGGGTTTTTAAACCTCTTGTACAAAATTAACCTGGGCACTCCAGTTAAGACCTATCATGTAAAGCGCAGTCGGGAGTGGTGCCAAAGCTGCCCATATATCTTTGATCAACAGTTTCACTGTGGCAGTTGTCACCGCTGCCTTGCAAGAATGTTTATCTGCTGCAGGCAGAGAGGGGTTCTGATTTTGCAGAGACGCGAGGTTTTGCAGTGGGTTTTTTTGTTCTGTAACAACTATTTCTCATGTCTTATAATGCTTTAAGAAATGGAGCAGGTAGATTAGAGGCTTTTGTGATTCAGGGTTTCTTTTTCTTTTAAATACCAAGTGAACTTATGTTCAAAGAGGAAGAATGGGTTTCTCTGAATTTCTCTAATAGAAACCTGGAGAGCGAGGCCACAGAAGGGCCAAGCGCCCCTGCACCGGCGATGGGCTACTCCCTGGCACAGATTAAAAGTGCAGTGACAAAATAGCTGTAAAGAGGACAAGAAGCTCGTTTACTTTGTAAACTATAATTAAAAATAATAGGTGAGAGCGCATAGCATGACACAACACTAATTTAAAACCGATACAGTTTATCTGGCATCTTATTATTATTTATGTACATCTTAGTCCTTTCTGTGGTAATTAATTATGAGCTGATAGGAATCAGAATAAAGAGGCTGCCAAGTATGATTGAAAAAGTAAATGAAGATAAATTAGATGTTGCCACATTAGGATAATTTAATGGGGAAAGAGAATAGGCTTCAATCTCTTGTGATTTTCCCCCAGTTCTTTTTTTCTGGACTTACATTTTCACAACCAAGGAAACTCAGGGTGCTGTTAGGGGGTCAACCTGCAAGAGACCTCTACTTTACATTCTCATCCGTCAAGGGTAGCAAGCAGCCTAAAAAGCCCCAGTTCTCCTTAAATGAGGTGTCTCAATTTTGTAACTGCAAAGAAAGGCATATTTGTTTGCAAGACATGCATTTTTCTCAGAAGATGGGATTAAACTGATAATGATGACTCCACAGCTTAGAAATGATCTCCCATCACAAGGTAAACCAAAACTGTCTGTATTAAGTATTTTGAAAGGCATATATTTATCAACAGACCAAAATATTTTTAAAGTTAGTATAATACATAGTAATCCTCTTATTAAACCAATATCTTTTTTAAAAAAGAGAAAGTATCTTAGAGGTGGTAGCAGAAATGGAAAAGAGTTCTACTGAAAGTAATATTAATAGAGAACAATAAAATTCTTATGCTCATTTGAACTATCCTATAAAGCTCCACAGCACAGGTATGATCGCCATATTCAGCTGTTTAGAATGATTCAAAGCCCCTGAAGAGTATTATTAGTTTTTTGCAAGCAATTCAACTGGACTTTTATTAGAAAGGTAAAATTAAACTAAATTGCTCAATGCAAAGTGAGAGCCCTTAAGCTACTGCTGAAAAGCATCTGTCCAGCCAAGCTAAACTCAGGCTAGCTCTTATAGAATTCAGCTAATTCATAAAATGGAAGTTTATCAGAGCAGTTTAAAATACAAACCAAACAGTAATTTATCTTTTCAAATGAGTCAAATTTGACGACATTTAAACAAAATTCTCAGCATGCAGAAAAACGTCCCACAGTAAAACAGCAGTGCTTTATACCTCAAACATTGACACAACCTAGACTCCAAAAGAAGAGAATAGTTTTCCCTGTGTGAGTGTAGGATATTTACTTTAAGCGATAAAAGATTATGTGGCTGGAAGCCCAAAGCACTTTATCTTGCGATGCCTCCAGTGTTTCACTGAGAACTGGATGTAAGCAATGTGCCATTTGCTTTTTGGCTGAGTATATCTTTACTTCTTTCTAAATGTTTCAATCGTGTTGGCTGCTTCACAATAAGAAAGTTCAATGGTTATATCATTGAAAGAGAAGTACCTTTCTTATTACTTAAGAGAAATGCAGCCATATTTATCCCTTCGTTGACAGAGGGCAAAGCTAGTATCGTTAATATTTCAGAATAATGGACAAACACGAACTCATCAAGCCTGGAGGAGGTTCCTTCAGATGACAAAACTACAAAACAGAAGGTAAATCCCAGATTCTCAAAGCCATTTAAGCATCTGATTTCCTTTGGTGAATGTGAGCTAGTTGCATTCAGACATTTGAGGATCTAAGTGACTTGCCCAAGGGCAGAGGGGAACGAGTATCAAAGAATCAGAGGAATCAAATCACACTTTGGGTTAGGAGGGCTGTCAGGAGGTCTTTAGCCCAACCTCCTGCCCAAAGCGTGACACCTCGGAGCCCCGTATATGCCATGCTGAGCGGGAAGGTCCTCAAGGGACAAATTCCTCCTTTACATCTATGACTCGGATACCACAAACCTCCAGGAAAAGCCAGAGGTGCAGATAACTGCAAAACGCTTGCGCTGCCAGCCATGCCTAGCCAGGCTGAGAAACCACTTAGTTTCTCAGTAAATACTGTTTATCCCTCATGAACACTGTCTTTTGAATGACATCTTTGTATGTTGGGCCTTATGACAGTTTAATAACAAGTTTTAATTTTTTGCTCATCAGCTTTCCTGTTCACATATCATCAGCATACGACAGCAGAGGATGTTAGGGAATCTAATTAGTAAACAATTCCATACTGCTGATACAAGATGAAACATTCTTAAACCGATAAAAAGAGCACTTTAATCACTGTTGAATGACTTTCAATGCCAAGCGGTTTGTGCCATGTCAGAACATAATTTGAAAAAGATTAGAGTACTATATAAAAGAATTAATGTTAACAACTTCGTTAAAAAATGTCTTAAACAATGAGCTTGTCAGTTGTCACAGGCTCTCCCTGATCTATTGTGATTAACGCCCCCCCTCCCAACAATTTAAACTGATAAACAATGCTAAAAGCACTGGGCAACCTAAACATTTTTTTTTTCCATACATCTGTCAGTTGTACAGGGTGCTAATCACCAGAGCTGGGGGTCAGCCTTCTTTAACCTGCAACAAAGGCAGCGGGTTGCCATGATGAATACACGGGATCAAGAATTTGTGAGAAGCCCAACTGAATCTTTAATCATGCCTCAATGCCATTTCCGATCCAGTCAAACATTTGAAAGCTGCTAGGCAAGCACCACGCTATCAATATTTCTAGCGTACGTAAAATTACCCGGGAATCTTGTTTTGGATTAAGTTGAAGAGTGTCTTAGTAATAAGGGTTCATCATTCTCTTCCGCAAATCATTTGTCAGTTTTGTAATACAATCTTCAACTGCAGCAGGGTGGGATTTATACAGCAGTTGCTGTTTATTTATAGTTGAGGCTCAAAGATCTAAATTATCCATCCCTCCAAAATCCTTTGTTGAGATGAAAATACTAAGTAGCTACTAGTTCGTAGGCATTTATTTCATAACTGCTAGCTGTCAATTTGTAACTGATGGCACTGAATACAAATTAATATTGAATATCTTAACAGTAAAAGAAAAGGGGTTCTTGATATACCGTGTACGGTAAAACCCTCATTAATATATGCAATGCATCCGTTAGTATTCTAAGACACCATTTATGTTCCTGATAAAAAAACCATATTACACAGTTAATGTTTAGTTTTCAGATTTGTCTACTTTCAAATGCATGTTTATTTCCTAAAATTAGGTTACTGTTCTGAAGCAGGTTTGCATATCAAGCATAGAAATAATAGAAACAAAGCCATAACTTATCTGTATACTTATCAACTACAAATGAATAAGATCCACTCTGAACTCTGTTAAGGGCATACAGATAGCATTAAACATTGCCTGCCAGTGAGATGGGATCAGCTTCTCTGAAAAGGAGATTTTTATTTTCTTATGAAAAATTAAGAATAAAGGTCAGCTAACTCGGTCGCCTGAGGTTAGGTTTAGCACAGTGCATTTAAAAGATGGCCAGTGGGAAGAGGTGAATTCAAAATGACATGGGAGGCGAGTATTTGTGACAAGAGCCAGATTCAAAGCAAGCAGCTCAAGTGAAATAAAAAGGCAAGTGCTTCCTTACAAGTCTTCAGGCTTTTCCTGTTATTCACCTCAGGACTATTAGACAAAGCCAACACATCCCTAACACAAAAATATCAGATCCGCACAATAGCACTGTGAACATACCATTTATAGCAGAATAACTCATTACACAGCAGCGTGAAGATGAGGCAGCGTGAACATATTCCAGACCATGAAACCAGTGGGGTGTCCCATACCTTCTTTGTGCCTCTGTAAAGCACCCTGAAGAGTTCAAATCCATTCTGCTAGAGAGGGAAAAACTCTCCACCAGCTAGCTTCAGCAATGGTCATTGCTTGATTCGATGTGAAATATTCCAAGGAGCCTTTATAACAAACAAAATTATATGGAGCCTATTTCCACAATGATCAGTTCCAAATTGCCCAAACCAAACTCCAAAGTTAGAGCTGCAATTTTATATTCCTCGAGCCTCATCTTCATCTGGTGTAAATCAGCCCAGGTCTG